TAAGGAATTGGGTTGCACTACTTTTTGTGAGCTTCAAGTGCCTCTGAAATGCTGTCACTTAAAGGTGGTTGTCAGTTGCCTTAGACAAAGGTCTATGAAGAGAGACTTCTTGGAATCATTTTGAATATACTTAAGAACTGGTTTTAGTTTGTGAGCACAGGAATGTCAGTACAGAAATCTGGTTGCAGAACTTTGGCCAACCCTACCTTCAGGAGTCTCTTTTGTTACATATATTTGTGGTAATCGTACAAATGCCTTTCCTGGGGTTTTTGGGGGGGTTATGATAAAATTATGTAAAAATTATAACGTTCTATTAGCAGATAAAAGCAGCCTAAAGTTTAAATCCAGGAATGTGCTAAAAAGTGAATGATAGAAGTGTTGATCAAGGTATATCAAATAGAAGTTAAGGGAAGAAATGCTAGTCATAGTCTTCTGCAGTAATACGTGATGTCCCCCGTGTTTGGTTTCGGGGTCTAAGGCAGGTAACTAGGTAGAGAGGAAGGGAGGAGTCATTTCAACATGGGCTAAAGAGAAAACAATTGGCTTGGAGCACTTGCTCTGGGTAACTTCAGTAACCATCTTTTTAGGGTACAGCTTTCCTAAAACTCACCTGGAGCACACTGGTGTAGCAGTTACTGGTAGGACAGTAACCTGTGATGCTGGCTGGCTGATGTTAAAGTAGCTAAGGAATATTCTCTGTGAAGTGTAATGCTTACTCTGTTATAACTCTTATAAGCCAATATTGCAAATCTTTCAAAAACAAGTACCATAAGATAAAATTATGTTTAAAATTAAGTGTTCTGGCGTGCCAGTGTGTTGTGTTCCTGCAGGGTACTGGCTTGTTTCTGCAGTAAGCAGATCCCTAGTATATATTCTGAAAGCGTCAAGAACATAATGAGATACACTTGGGGACATGAGCTTCTTTGAGAGCTGGTTGTATAGAGATAGGGGAAGTAACACACCTTTTGCAAACCCTCGCCACCAGAAAACATCTGGCATACAGCAGAGACGTGGACAGCATGGCTGAAAATGGAATCCAGAGGATGAATATATGTTAAGTGGCCCTCTAATACAGTAATGGTTATGAAAGGAAAATTATGTTTCCTGGGTAACAGTCTAAAAAGCATGAGAGTTTGAATGTCCTGCATCCTCGGTCTGTGCACTTTGGAGAGACAATGAAGGAGTAGCGCATCCACACATCTAAATCCTCTGTGTTTCCCAAGAGCTGCACTGACCCAGAGGAACATAGTGCCGAGAGGGGAATGGTGAAGATGTTGAACAGATTTCACAGCCTGGCAGTTAATGCTTCTTGCAGGGAAGGCCTTGCAGCCTCAGAGCAAAGCTGATTGTTACATTTTTTTCCCCTTCATGAAAAGCATTCTGAGAAAATGAAGCTGTACAAAGACGTTCTTGAGCTTGTTCTGATTTCACAATAAGATTTTCATTGGAACCGAGCGACCTCCAAGTGATGGCAGAGTAACTCTTGCACTTATAGGGGATGCACCCCAAGAAAGTACAGCAGAGCGTTTCTGAGTCAAAGGTCCTTACTCCATTTGGTTTGGGGACAGGAGCTGGTATTAATTGCAGCAGCTCTTGAGTCACACGGCATCAACTAATACCCTCCATATTACTAAATCCTCTCCAAATCAGTTGCTTTTCCATAAAGTAAGCACTGCTCACAAAAAAAAATAAAATTCTCTGTCCAGTATCCATTCTGCCTGCTCGCTGCACATGGAAAGAGGATGAGATTTAAACCTTGTGGCTGTTGGTGAGACAGACAGGAGGCGGAGATGGAGCTCTAATGCCTGCTCTGCAGTTAGCAAGGGTTAATCCCAAGGTCGAGAAATTAAAATTACAGCACTGGCAAAGCAGCATTATCTTAAGTACCTGAGGCTTTTCCTGATGCATCTGTTAATTTACTGTGGTGTCTTTTAGGACCCTGTCAAAGATGGTGAAACAAAAATCAAGGCGGACTATGCTCAGCTGTTTGAGGATATGCAGAACGCATTTCGCAGTCTGGAAGACTAGACTCGACCTCCGTGACCACTCCAGTTTGTCCTCTCAATTCCTCATCTCAACTCCTCTGCTTCCCTACCTTACAAGAATGATGCAACAGTACTTGAGTTGATAAATAGCCCTGTGTTTTCCCTGTTCATACTTGGAGAGCGTCCTTACAAAACATTCCTCTTAGTTTGTCTTTGGCATTGCTTTGTGTGTCTGAAATGGCGAGTGATGTGTGAATGGGCCTGGCTGAGTGAGGAAATGCTGTTGTACACTTCTAGGGTGGGAAAAAATTCACCTTGCCTCTCCCAGCTCTCTTGGTAACCAGTCTTTCACCTTGGGATGTAACCAGTTGAGCTGTACCGGCAGAGGAGGTGTAGATCTTAATGCAGTCACGTGGTACGTTCTGAGCTGGCAGTGGTAAAGGGCATTTACATCTGGCACTTTGCTAAGTGACTATCATGGCGTAGAGCTCCCTATTCTCAAACAGAGTTTTTGACCATATTCTGTTGACATATTGATACAACCAAAAATTCTTCACTACTCCATCCCTTCTGCAACCCTCAGCTGAGTCTGTTGTGGTAGTTCTGGATATCCCCAAGAAGGGACTAACTAGAAGATGAGCACATACAAGCAGCCAGTATACTTTTGTACACTGGAGAAACAGAATTTTATTTTCCTACTTAATACAGGTAAGACTGTGGGACTCAGCATCAGCTAAAATCAAAGCCATAGGTGCTCACCTTCCAGCAGAATTTTACCTTCATTGCCTTCCATAAAATTCCATGACATTCAGCGGCTTTAGTTTGTCAAGCTTGTGACTGCTGCCGTTTACTGCAGGACACACATAGCAAGTTACAGTGATGCCATGTGTGCGGACCGGGAACACAGTCCTTCCTTGGTGGTGCTCTGTCTGCCAGTGCCGTTGCCTCCCAGTGCAATGCCCAGGTCATGCTAAGGAAAGGAAAGCATGTGCTTAACCTTCCTCCTCCACCTGTGCTCACATGGCCTGGTTGGCGGTGGCACAGAAGGTCCCCAGTTCTCGTGTAAGAGGAATGTATGATGCTACACTTCTGGGGGCGGGGGATGAACGGGGGGAAGGCTGACGAGTACAAAATGTATTTAATCCTGCCTTGTTGATTACAGTGCAAGAGAGACCAGTAACTCTGGTCTTCTGCTCTGTGTGCTGGAAGCACCCTGTGAAGCAGCCAAAACCACGGTGTCTTGGGCTTGTTTATTGGCAAAACTTGTACGAGATGAGGAATGAGCATAGAGCAGCCTTTCTGTCAAACTGCGGGAGCCCAGCACTTGTACCATTGCTGCCGAGTGAAAGAGAACAGTGCTGGCACCCTCTCCGGTCTCTCCCTCATGCTTGTGTCAGGTGGTATCCGGTGCTGCTTTGCCATGGAGCACTCTGTGCCCAGCTGGGTTCCAGCTAACATCTGCTGCTTTGTTATGGTTGTCAGTGACACCGTGGCAGTGGCGTGGCTATGTAAGTGTTCGTTCTGCACCGAAGTATTTCCTCTGGCTGCCAGCTTTGAACAGTAGTGATGCAAAGGGATCTCACGCTACGGACCAAATGCTGCCACTTTCATTATTATATCAACTTGCTGTTTGTCAGAGAGAGCCTGGTTGAAACTTAAAGGGATTAACTATTTTTGGTTCTCCCAAAAGGAGCTACTCCTCCAGCTGATGTTCTGGTAGTGAATGGTTTAAGTTTACAGTTCACGAAACTTTCAGTGTATGCTGCTTGTTTTACCAATGAGCATGTGTGAATGAGTAGTCACCATCCAAGCCCTCGCTGGATTCCTCATTGTTCGTACCCTTCACCACTGTACTATGTAGCATTTCATGCTAGAAACCAGATGTTCTTATCTCTTTAAATAGAGGATGTTATGAACTTTACAGAAGATGTCTAAGATAATGCAGTTCTAATATTTATTGTGCTGTACCTGGCCCTGAAGTGTGACCAGTTCAAACAGTTTCATATATATTTTTGTCTTTTTTTTTTGTTTTGTGTCTGTTTTCAGTGTTGAGATTCTGATGTTCACTGTGTTCTGCAAGTCTTCCCTCCACAGCTGTGGGAGGAATGAAAAGATGGGCAGAACCCCACCACCTACTTTATCTTGTATATTTCATAATGTATGTTGCTGGAAATAGTGTTAAAAAAAATTTAAAAAAAATGTTGAAGTCAATGAGAATAAAATGGATTTAAATTAGGGCTTTCTGTCCTGTTTTCCTCTATAAAACCAAACCTGTGCCGCAGTGCTGTACACACCATGCTGTGTTTCCTTAAAATCTTACTTCATTTTAGCGATCTCTATTTAAACTTGTAAGCAGCAATGTGGCAGAGACATTTTTACCTCAGTTCTCACGTTCCAGTACAGCTTGCATCATCTCCTCAGATGTTACATGAAAGGAAGAGTTACAGTGTAGCAAAGATTCTTGGTGTAGAGATTTTTAGGACTACTTTTATTGTAATACAAGTATAAGTCTGAACTTGCCTTTCACTGCTCATAGCTGCCATGCATGCTAACGCAACAATTGTAATTGTACCATTTTATGGCACTTCACTAAGCCTTAAATTATTTCCCTGCCGCATACCTCATGTTGTGGAATATACCTCTTAAAACATCAGATGTGCATTTCAGACAAACTTGATTGGAACTTCTGGATCAGAAGATAAGCAGCAGTGCTGGCCACAGCCCAAAAGTAACGTTAGCAATCTTTTTAAATAAGGAGTTGATGAAGTGAGAAGATACTAAAAACCTCACATTCAGGCATTTTTGTACATATTTGACCATTGTATAACACCTCTTTGAAGGAAGTGTTTGCTATTTTATATATATTAGAAATACAGAAAGTTCAAATAGAGCAGATGTTTGAGTAATTCCACTGCATTACAAGAGGGTGGAAGTCATAAGCTCACTCCTGGTAACCACAGACTAACCAGCAGTTCCCTGTGGACATTAAGAAATCCACTGAGGGAAGGGACGAGTTCAGGTTTTGGCAGCTTGAAGGTTACCAACTGGCAGCGACCTCACTTCATCCACACGACTTTTGTGGATCTGGAAAGCAGGCGTCACCCAGCGGCCACAGGAACACTGCTCGCCCCGCCAGCTGAAGGAGCCCAGCTTCGACGTGCATTTGGGACACAGAAGCTGCAAGAAAACACACATGACTCACACTAAGGCACACACAGATGTAGCTCTATTTAAAACGCACTTCTGTGGTACATTAAATTGTGGCAACCTGCACTGAGCCAGCTCCTTCCCTCGTAATGCTTCACAGAAGGTAAACGGGCCAAAAAACAGGCAAAAAAAGCTAAACTGGTATGGCTGTTTAGCCCTGGGGTATAGGAGGCAGCTGTGCTGGCCGAAAGGGAGAGGGTGGAAATGCAGCTGCTCAGACCTGGTGCGGTTCCAGGACAGTTTTGCCAATCTCCAGAAAGCCTCAGTCGGACGGAGACCACAATGGGTTTTTTAAGTCCCACAAACTCTTTCTCATACTAAAAACAAACAGCCGATAAACACTGTCCAACATCTTGGCTAATGTTCCCAGTCCAACAAGATCACAGCTCATTTCCTGATAAAAGCCTATTTAACATTTAAGAATCTGTTCACAAGCTGCAAAATTCACGCCAGAAAGGCTGAGAGATCTAGATGCTTGTGTGGGGGCTTTCGTCTCAGGGAACACTGTTCTGCCTCTGCAAAAAAACACACCCAAAAAATAAAGCACATGCTCCCCTTCACCTGTCCCTCCATTACTCCGAGCAACGCTGGCTCCATCCACTGCACGGGCTCAGTGAAGTAAGAGGTACACTTTTCACGGCCATCACCGCAAAGCTGAGCGGAGTCTGTTATCCTCTTGTGGGCAAAGGCTGTCGGTCCAATTCCTTCCGTGTGGGACAAAATGCTGGAACTACGGAACAGAGCGCGCCTGCCCTCCACGACAGAGGAGGAAAAAAGAAGTTAAATAGTTGGATTTTTTTTTTTAACTGGGGAAACCTACAAACAATGTAAAATAGCTGCCCTATAGCTGTATGCTGTCTCTTATATAGACCTATTTTTAAGCAGGTCCTACCTACTAAAATTGCCATTCTATGCTCATATGCTTGAAGAAACCTACACTTAGGAAATAGCAGGATTATTCAATTTCACTTTAACTGATTCATAAAAGGTAATTAAAATGTAGTAAATCCCCAAAATCTACAAGCAGTTTCTTCTGGAAAAACTGAATGTCAAAACCAAACTAGACATTATGGTTTCAGAGCAGGCAACTTCAGAGCCAAACAGAATTATGACTGCCTATAGAATGCGGCAGGTTAGACTGCACAAGTACTGCACAACTTCAAGGAACAAAAAGGTTCGTATTTCATAAGGTGCTTTTATTTGTCTATTTTTTGTGTGGCATATACTGTATGGAAACTTAGGTAAGAGCTCATCCATGTCCTGACAATAATGACATGTTCATTGATCTACACAGGCTATTTTTCTCGAGTCGATTTTGAAATAACATTTTAGGGAGATACATAAAAGGTTCAGTACCTGCATTTCCTGCACCTGTAGAGAACCTCTGTGTTTGGAGTTTGACATATACTGGTCGGATCAACAGCAAAGACTTCCCGGGGCAAGTCTTGAAGTTCTGTAGAGGGGTCAGTACGAAGTTGTGAATCAGATCAAAGCAGCCACACTGTATTTCTGCGGGACAAGACAGCGCTGCACCTCTGCCCCAGTCATGGCATGCAGAAGCTACCGTCTTCGCACTCATTTGCCCACTCACCAATTCCATCAGATAAGCTAAAAATGAAAGAGCCTCATCCCACCACACCTACATCTGGGATTCGCTTAATGCAAAGAACTGGGATCCAGAATTTGGCCTTAGCAATGGTAAAATAATTGCATTTCGCTTTATGTTCTTCCTTAAACAGAAAGTAAAGGCAGAGGAGGACTTAGAACAGTTCTGCCGATCTTTTAGTGCACACAATACAGAAAATCAGCTTACGAATGGGAATTGCTAAGGAGAATGACACATAAATGGAGAGAGCACTATCATGCTGAATACGCAACACTGTGGATTATTATTTTATTGTAAAATTACATATGCACACAGATCTACTACAGTAAACCTTTTGCAAATTAAAGTATGAAAGCTTATTTCATACCTTGATTTCAACTTTACCTCAGCTTTGCATTTGTTATTTTTTTAGTTTCGTTGACTTCTTTTCAGAGGATGTTAAGTTTGCCTCGCCAGGTACATAAAAAACAGGAAACATATCAAATTGACCTCTACCTTTTCTGCTTTTTGCTATAGAGAGCAGTTCTTAGCAGATCTTATTTCTCAGACATATCCCAAAGGCACTTTCCCCCCCTCCGGTGAGGAGCTGGAATTCTTTAGGCCCAGTTCGATGTGCCTGTGTGCCGAGCCATCCCAAGGATCGGCCGCTTTGAGGGCAACACTCAAAGTCAACCACTTCTGACATGGCCTTCCGTGTTCATTTCAGGACAGCATGGTCCCACTTGGGCCCACCCTCCTTGGGGGGCTGCCCCAATCTTCGCTCCGAGCACCCGGTGCCCCGGTTCAAGGCCGAGGCTTCCCCGGGCCCGGCTGGGCGGCACCACCGCCTCCCCC